ACATGGACCCCCAGAGTGGGAAACACAGGGACATTTGCCAGCAGCTTTCAGAGAGCAGCTGGCAGCAGCAGAATGTAAAAGCCCTGCAGGCTCAGGTCCAGTGAGCTACTGGTTTTCAACCATTCCCTTCCATCCCGTCCCAGTCTGCTCCCAGCTTGGAGGCTCCAGCATTTCCCCTCCTTGCTCCACCCTCCTATGGCTCGTTGCTGGTCTCCTCCAGCAAGTCCAGCAGGACTTTTGTTTCCTCATCTTTTCCTACACTAACCAGCTGGGACCAGCACCATTCCCAGCTGCAGCTGTGTAGTTTTTCCTTGGCACTGCAGGCTCCTGGGAACAGCTTTCACATTTGCTGGAAGGGGGATGCACCCGGATTACGGGCTCCTCCAAGGAATACATCACCTCCCAGCCTGGGGCCTCCACTCCCTGCACAGCCACAAAGTGAACTCTGCAGCCTCCAGCACGCCCAGGGACGTTCCCATGGACCCCATAACCGGATGGGAAGGGGGCTGCTGGCACAGCGGGCTCCTCCTCACCTTGCTTGATCTGCTTGGTGACGAATTCCAGCTCGGAGAGGGTGTGGATGCTGACCAGGTCCCCCCCACTCCGCAGGCAGGTCTTCTTTGCCTCCTGCCAGCTCTTCTTCTCTCCCACCAGCCGGTAGCAGTTGGACTGGAAGGGCTGCCAGCTGGGCTCGCAGTCCACCTTCACCTCCGACCACGAGTCTGGCAGGACACAAGGCAGCCTGAGGGCTCCTGCCAACCCTCCAGCCCCGTCCTTGGCAGGGAAGGGGCCGCAGTCCCACGGGGTGCTCAGCACAACGAGCCAAAGCCGCGGTGGGAAAGCCACGGCCAAAATGTAACAGGCAGTGGCAAGGTGAGGGAATGGCGGCTTCAGAGCTCTGGGGACAAACCAAATCCCTCCCGTCTGCAGAGGAGCAAGGGCAGAGCAGAGCACACAGCACCCCCTCCCTGGGGACCCGCTGCTCTCTGTCCCTCCCTCACCACCCAACCTGGAATGGCACCGAGCGCTTCTTGGAGATGACCTTTCCCAAACCTTGGCAACCCTGAGGAGCTCAACCCCTGCTCTGCACACCCAGGGCAGGCTGGGGACACCACGGGCACCTCCATGGGCAGCATCCCCTGGCCGTGGCAGGGTGGGAGCACGCCCGGTGTGCCCGTTCCCGGTGCTGCTCCTGCCCCTGCTCACCCGTCAGGAAGGGGTCGGCCGTGGCGTTGGGCTTCTTCTTGCACACGTAGGGGAGGGCGATGCCGCAGTCGCGGTTCTGCCACCCCCCCGAGGACTCGGTGCGGATCACCCCACAGTTCTCCTCGCTGGGGTTGTCAGGCTGGTCTGGAGAGTGGGGTGAGGGGGGACAGGCTGCTGAGGAGCCACCAAGGCAGCTCTCCCCGCTCCAGCAGCAGTAAAACCCCATTTATTTCGTTATTTTCTATGATAAGATGTGACCCCGTGTGCCCAGGTGGCAGTTGGGGGGGCACGATACCAGACCTGAACTGCTCCTGCCTGTCCCCAAACCTCCTGCGAGGGCATCACTGCCCCCAAGGGTGTTTCTGGGTCCTTCTGCTCCCTGAGCACCTCAGGGTCAGGGAGGGGTGTCTGCAGCTGGGGACTCCCCTCAGCCACACTCCAGCACTAAGCAGGGGTGCAACGTTCCAAGCAAGGAACATCAACCCAGGTTATCCGCGGGACCACCGAGGGTTTGCACAAGGCCGATTCCCCCTCAGCACCCTGTGTCACCTCTCCAGCTCCACAGATGTCCCAGCTTGCTCCAATGCCCCCTGGGGCTCTCTGTCCTCAGGCAGTGAGGGGACACCCTGCAGCAGCCCAGGCCACCTCCCCTGCCACGTGGCCATCTCTGGTGGTCACAGGTTGTTCCCCAGCCCCCTGTCACCACCACGACCCCCCCCATCTCACCACTCTCCCAGTTGAGGTACTTGAGGGGCGAGTTGTCTGACCACTGCCAGCCTCCATTGATGTCCAGGTCGTTGAGCCCAATCCAGAGCGTGGAGCTGTACCCAGTCAGGAGCCCTGAGCCAACACAGCCAGAGAGGGGCAGGATCAGTCTCCCCAACCCCAGCTCAGTCTCCAGCCTGTCATCCCCCCAAAACCAACCACCCGGGGCAGGCAGAGCAACCTGGCAGTGGCAATGCCCACGGTGCCACCAGGCACAGCCAGGCTGCCACGACCTCACCGTTGATGTAGGTCTGCTCGTGGATCTCGGTGATGCTCAGCAGGTTGGCCCCTTGCTGCTCACAGCTATTCCAGGCCTCCCTCCACGACAGCGTCGACTGGAAGTTGAACTGGTAGCAGCTGTTGGTGAGATGGTCCTTGTCCCAAAAAGTCTCGCAGTCGTTGCCTGCGGGGACGAGCAGGGTGAGCACCCAACACACCCAAAATACCCCAATAACCCCGTGAACCCCACAACCTGCTGCTCCAGCACTGCAGGCTGCTGGCAGGAGGAGGGACGAGGCAGGACGTAAAGACAGAGGAAGAAAAACCCCCAGGAGGGATGGGCACGGGGTTCCTGCTTTTCCCCGTGGAATGTGTCCCCCTACTTACTCTTTATGGGGCAGAAGCCCCACCGCTCGTCCTTGCCGTAGTCCTGGGTGGTGGCACACCAGAGGTGCCCGTCCTCCCTGCCCGTGCTGGTGCACTCATGGAACCACTGGTTGTCGTACTTGAAGGGGATGGTGCAGGGCTTCCCGTGGGAGTTGCCCTGGATGGTGTAAATCTCTGGGGGAGAAGAGGAGCCCTTGCTTGAGGCCGTGTCTACAGGGCTGGAGGGAGGTTTGGGGTGGTGTGGGGGGCAAGGGGTGCCCAGAGGCTGCCCCGCTCCCACCAGCCCCATCCTGCCTGGTTCTGCAGCCCCAGCGAGCTGGCACCGAGCAGGACCCGCCCGCCGCAGCACCGCGGCCTCCGCTCACATTTGGGGCTGGGTTATGGCACAACACGGCGCCCAAGGGGGCATTACCAGAGTAGGGCACGGAGCACAGGTCCTCCTCGGTGCCGTACGTCCTCCACTGCGAGCCACGTGCCTGGTCCCCCCTGTCCAGGGAGGCGTTGGCGGGGCGGGCGCCGAGGTGCTGCGAGAGCTGCTCGCCGAGCCCGCGGCAGCTCCAGCGCATGTTCACCGACTCGCGGTCGCACTCGTAGGTGGCCAAGGGGTGCAGCCCCGCCGTGCTGTTCCCCCCGTGCCACGACACCCCCAGGCACTGCATGGCCCCCACGTTGAAGAGGCGGTTTCGGGAGACCCATTTCCACTGCTGGGCCGGGGCGCTGCCGTTGCAGCCCTTGGCCAGTCGCACCAGCGAGTCCTTGGTCTCCAGGCAGCCCTGGGAGCCCGTGTTGTAGATGAGGAAGACCTTGGAGTCTGGGGAAGAAACAAATGGGGAGGGATGAAGCATCGCTGGCGACTCAGCACGTGCCATGCATGACCTCCAGCCCCGACAGGACATCCTGGCTCCGCGCACAGCAAGGTCTGGGTGCATCCCTGGGACCTGCTTCCTGCAGCACTGACACAGAGTTTGCCCCGACGCCTGTCCCTGGGTGATGGACTCCAAGCAGGGTGACAGGGGTGGGCGTCTGCACCCAGGGTGGCATCACCAAGTGTGGCTATCAGGCCTCGGAGCCAGAGCAGAGAACTCACCCACGCTCACCACATCACTGGAGTGGTTCAAAACTGAGCTCCTGTGGGCAGCACTTGGCCACAGCATTCCCAGGCATTGCAAGGAGCCTGTGCCAGTGCTGGAGGAGCCAATGGCTTCAGCACCAGCCATCTGCTCCAGGCTGAGGAAAACAAAGCAGGGACACGGGGAGCGCGTCCATCAGTGCTGGGGGTGTCTGGGGACCTGCTGAAAGCTGCAAAGCAGACAGCAATGATGGGAGAAGGTCTCCCTGCCTGTGATGGAAAATGCCTGTACAGCCCCAGCCCATACAGGACCCTCTGGAATCCCAGCCCAGGTGTTGGGAGGCGGGAGCTGAGCGAGGGGAGTCACTGCCAGCAGATAAAACGCAGCCGTGGAGGGGGGACAGGCTGAGCTCAACCCCAGCTCCACATACATCCCATGGGCCAACCCTGTATCCCCACAGCAATTCCCTGATCCCAGCATCACCTTGGTCCCACCCCACCATGTGGCCCCATCCCAAAACCTGTACAAACCAGTAAATCCCAGACATCACACTGGGACTCGCTGCTCCAGCTGACGTGCCATTTTTAAGGGACACTTTATTTCTTCCAGTGAATGTTTCTAAGCTAAAAATCTGCCCCAGGGCTCCTCACCACCTTGACCTCCCCCAGTGCCCCAGCAAGAAGCTGCCCAAAGCACCACATCAACAGCACCACTTCTGTTGTTCTTTTTTTTTTGTTTTAAAACGACCCATTTTTTTCCACCACAAGCGTTCACCAGAAGTCCAAGCGAGCTCACGGGCCCCGCTATATTTAGCTTTGGTTTGCTTTGGTTTTTTGCCATTGTAGGAATTTTTTGGGCTGAAAAGGTTTTCATTTCCTACTTCCCCCCCCAGCCTCACCCTGCCCCAGCTCTGTTGTTACAGGAGGCTCCTGCACATTCGAGCGACAAACAGCTCAGCTCAGGGAACTTCCTTGCCTTGTCTGAAAGGGAAAAATAAATGGAGGAAGACAGACACCCCCATTGCACTTGGGAGCTCCAGCATCCACCCGGCTCCAGGACAGAAATGATGTCAAAGGCCTGTTCCCCAGCCCAGATGATACCGGTGATGATGTCAAATAAACAAACAATGAAGCCTGTTTGCAGGGCTTCATTTAATTCAAGGGAAACACTTAATTTCACTGAAAATATTTATCAAATCAGGACAAGTAAGAAGACAAGCAAAAATGCAGGCAGGGCGTTCTGGTTGGCAGAAGCTCAGGTCCCTTAAACTGGTGCTGGTGTCTTCCCAACTGGAACTGGCCTGATCCTGACTTGGACAGCAGGAGAGCAGCCCATCCCCTCCCCAGCACCATCCATGGCATTCCCAGCCCAACTCTCTCCCCTTCCCACCTGCAGCGAGGGGGGGGAGCTCCCCTCAGCACTGGGGACATGAGGGGGTCTTTCAGCAGTTTTGGGTGATGCAGCATCACTGCCATGACCCACTGGACCCAAGCACCAGCACTGGGGCAGGATGAGGCCTCCCTGGGGCACAGGTTGATGCCACATTGCTCTGCAAGGAGCCAAACAGTGGCAGTTTGGTCTTTGGAATAGGAAAAGCTGCTCCACTGTGAACATCACCACGGCCAGGGTCAGGTATGGGACACCCTCCTTTGAGCCCTCACCTATCTTTGAGCTTGGCTTTACAAGAAAAATTAACATCAGCTTGGAAAAGCCCTGGAACCAACCCAGGAATGGTGTTGGGGTGCCCAGTGCTATGTCAGGGCTGGCAGCACCATGCCAGGGCAAGGGCCATGCTCACAGTGCTCAGAGGAAGCTGTCCAGACTGAAGGGGGCAGGCCCAGGGCCAGAAAGGCACAAAATATCATTTTACTCTAAAAAGAGAAGAGCTGGAGGTAGAAAATTACAGGGTGAGGGTTCCGGGCTGCCCCCGCCCGCTGCAGGCAGCTCAGCACGAGGCCCCCCCCCAGCTCAAAGAAGGCAGCAGAGGCCACCCAGCGTGTCCCCAACCTCCCCTGGGCCACAGAGGAATGGGAAAGATCCACCCCCTCAGCACTTCCAGCTTCTCCCCCTGCAAAACCACTGTGCACTGCCACCATCAGGTCCCTGATGCACTGAGTGTTCAGCCTCCCTGACCCCGGGATGGATGTGGAGTTGGGGGGGATGGGATGAGTTTATAACTGTAATTATGCTCTCTAATTTTTCATAGATAAAAATCATTGCCAGCAATTTTTAAATAGATGGACATATGGCTGAAAAAAAATAATAATGCCATACAACATGGATATAAACTGTCCATTTCTTGCTGTACAAATAATAGAAGCAAGTTTGGCAGGCTTTTTTTGGTGTTTTTTTTTTTAATATACATCTCCCTTCTATGTATAACTAAAAATGTGCTACAATTAATATAAAATGCTTTTACTATAAAGTAAATCCCTTTATGAATCCCTTTGTCCAACCTGGTATCCTGCAGAGCAAACCCAACCCTTGTAGGAGGCAGCTCCAGAGGAGCTGGGAATGTCCCCATCCCTTCTAGGGCCTGCCCTCCACAGCTCCTCAGGTTTTGGCACCCACCAGCAGACCTGAAATCCCACAGGCAGAGCTTCCCAACCACCCTCCAGTCATGGAAACCCACCCACAGCAACCCCAGATCCTTCCCAGATAGGAGCTGCCCTCTGGCATGGGACAAAGAGCACTGGAAAATGCAATCCTGCTGGATGCTCTGCCTGGAATCACCAAAGCTAAGCCAGGGCTGGGGTGGGCACCCTGTGCCTCCTGTGCCTCTCCCTCCTCCATCCTTCATCTTTCCAGCAGGGCCTGCTCAGAGCAGCTCTGCTCCATCACATCCTGCTCCTCCTCCTCCTTCTTTTCCTCCTCTGGAGAGGAACAATGAAAACAAAGGGAAAACCCACATGCTTCCAGCAAGGACAGTGCCTTATCCCAGCCATGGAGCCACTGGGATGCTGCTTCTGGCTTACTGGTGGGACCATGGAAACCAGTCAGTGCTACAAGGCAGAGTGATGGTGGGGACAGGGGGGAGCTGAGGTAAGAGCTGGACACCAGCTCTGCCTGCAGGAACACTCTCCATGTGGGAAATCAGCAGGAGAAATTGGCCTTGGCACTGCTGGCTGAAGGCTGCAGGGATGAAGAAGCTGCCACCCTTAGGGGCAGCCCTCAAGGCAGCTTTTACACCCCACACCTGGCAGCAGGTTCTTTTTCCTTAATCAAAAAAAAAGCAAGTTCTCAGCCAGCAGGAAGCCTGAACCCAGGGAACTCAGCTCAACCCTCCCCACAACAGTCCCCAGCAAATAAGGAAAGCTTCACAACCTGCAATTTTGGGGAATGTGGGCAGCACCAGATGAGAGAGGCCACGGGGCTGGGGAGGCTCCAGGGGGCAGAGGTGGTGGCAAACATAGAAAGCCCTGCAGCACAACAGGGATGGGCACCCTCAGCACCACCCTGCCTGGTCACCCACACCAGGACACCCAGAGTGTCCCTGCTCCAGGGCATCTGTCACCCTCCCATCACCAGCAACAAATGCAGGGAGCAAATTTAAGAGAGGCCTGGCCCCCAACCCTGGTTATCCCAGGCTGGAGCAGCTCCAGGGCTCTGGCTCGTGGCAGCCCAAGGGGAATGCTGGCTCCAGCACAGCAGTGTTGGGAGGCTCTGTGCCCACACCCCTGCCAGCCCCTGGGCTCCCAAGTGATGGCAGAGCCCCTCGAGCAGCTCTGGGCCTCAGCCCCGTCCTTCACCCACCCCAGAGAAGGTGCTCCCTGCCCTTGTTCTCACTCGGGGCTCCCCTTTATTTGTATGTAAATAAACCTTGCATTTTCCCCTTCCCCCAGTGCTGAGTAGTTGTGTTCTGTCTGAAAACCCTCTCACACTGGGGCAAATTGTGGGAGGGGGGCTTGAACTTGGAGATTGGATTTCTGAGGGTCTCAAACCACCACAGGAGCTCACGGCACTTGTGCAGGAGGCTGAGCACACACAGAGCCACGGGTGTGATCCCCTCCTCGGGTCTGATCCCCTCCTTGGAGGTCCCTGTGCTGCAGACACACCATGGATGTGATTTGCTCCAAACCACCCAGCGCAGGCAGCAAAGCCTCAAAGCCCACGTGGTGCCCCAGCTCCATCAGGGCTCCAAGACCCAGGAGCTCCCTTCTCCAGGAGCTCCCTCAGGGCCTGCAGACCCCAGTGCCAACAAACACCTTCACAAAGATTTGGGAGCCCAGGCAAAAGTTGTACCCATCAGGTCCCTTCACTCACGTGGTGCAGAAACAAACCCCTGTTCAGCCCAAACCTCCTCATGCCACGTGCTCTCACCCACTAGAAAACAGGGCACCTCAGCCCCACGTCACCTGCTCCAAAACACCAGCTTTTCAGCCCGTTATTGCTGCCCAAGGGTAAGGAAGGGCTCCAAAACCCACATGGCACTGATGGAAGAAAAGCTGTGGGAAGTGAGAGCTCATTACACAGTAAACAAGATGGGGATGGACCAAGTGTGGGGGATTGCAACAGAGAAGCAAAACCCCCCTGGAATAAAAAAAAAAAACAACAGAAAAAGAAGACAAAAAAACCCCCACAGATAGGCTGAGAGAGCTGGGGTTGTTCAGCCTGGATCAGAAAAGGCTTCAGGAAAACCTCAAGAGCTTCTTCCAGTGCCTAAAGGGGCTCCAAGAGAGCTGGGGAGGGACTTGGGACAAGGGCCTGGAGTGACAAGACAAGGGGGAATGGTTTCCTCCTT